CCTAGCCTAGGTTTAGGGGTTGAACTTACTGAGATTCGTCTCACGGTTGTGTAAACCGAAACTTTTCAGACCCCCAGCAGTAGGATGCCGAGGTCACCACCTCTTTTTGGAATACCGCATTTTATCCAGCGGTCGTCGAGCATACACCCCGGTGGGGACGGAGCAGAACGGAGAAGTGGCTATTTGGTTATTCCCAGCTGTTGGTGTTTCCTTTTTGGTTGTAGTGAACACTGTAAAAAGAGTTTTAAAATAGTAATATAAATATGTACATATTTTCTGCGTTGATCGTTGTTTATTGCTTGGCTATCCTTGGCTCGTATTTTATATTAGTCAGGGTTTGTTATGTATTGCTTCCGCATGTGTTTGATCTCTGCCTGTTCTGAACGTGGGTCGACGATGCTTCCTGGGACGTCGCATAATAATCGACCGGAGGTACGATGCTCACGCTTCGTGGGGTACGGGGCGTGACACATAGCATCATTAAAACTTTTAGGATTATCTTCTAGATTTAACACTAAAGGATATTTATTTGTCACATTATTATACATGTCTCCTTCAACAAGGAAAACATGAGTTATGGACCTACATCTTTCAATTTTCTTACTCTAGTGCTTCTCCTAGATTCAATCAAGTTTTTATAATCATTTGTTTCTTTATCATGAGAATCTACTTGTGTTTTTTTTATAGGTTTTGAATTATTTGCATCTTGCATTTGAACATTATTTTCAATAATTGCAAAACCTATAGAATATTTATTGTCAAAGGATTCAACATCTCTTGATTCTACAATGACATTAGACTCTAAATTGAGAAGCTTATAAGTTTTACTGTTTTCAGCATATCCAAGAAAGACAATTTTGATAGTTCTTGGACCAAGTTTTGTTCTCTTAGGATTTACTACTCTGTAATCTACTGAACACCCCCACACTATAAGATATGACAAGTTTGGTTTACAACCTTTCCAAAATTCGTAAGGCTTAATGTTATTTCTCTTGGATGGTATGCTATTATGAATGTAACATTCAGTGAGTGATGCCTCTCCTCAAGATTAATTGGTAGCCTTTTTTTTTTTTATCAATTGGTAGCATTGAATTTGAAAGCATACAATTAATCATTTCTCGTAAAGACTTATTCTACCTTTCAGACAAACAATTTTGTTGTGGAGTCCATAGTGTTAAAACTTGATGAATAATACCATGTTCTTCACAAAAAATTGAAAATTCATTTAAAAAAATATATTTTTTCCACTCTAATTGAACATAGAATTTTAATTTTCTTTTCAAATTAATTTCTACGTCAGCCTTGTATTTCTTAAACATGGTAAATGCTGCATCTTTTGATCATAAAAGATAAACATATAAATACCTACTACAATAATCCACAAAAGTAATGAAATACCTTTTACCACCACGTGTTAACATGCCATTAAATTCATATATATCACTATGCACCAAATTTGATCAATTCAAATTTCTTTTAACACTAGGAAATGGTTTCTTTGTTAATTTAGATTTTCCACAGATTTCACATTTATCCGAAAATATATATTTTTTATATTCTTTAAATAACGAAATTTAAATGTGCTAATCTATTATGTTATAAAAAAAAAGACTCAACAATATAAGCAAAAGACGTGGTCTTAATATTATTATTAATACTTAGTTGATACATGCTATCACTAGCATAACCCTTTCCAACAAACAACCCATTCTTTGACAAGACAACCTTGTCAGATTCAAACAAAACCTGAAATCACCTTTTACAAAGTAAATCAACAGAAACTAAACAAACAGCCATTCTGTAACAAGACAACCTTGTCGGATTCAAACAAAACCCGAAATCACCTTTTACAAAGTAAATCAAGAGAAACTAAGTTCTTGCTAATTTCGGTTATAAACAATTCATTAAAAAGGGCAACCTTCTATCTCCATTGTGCCTCTGCCGAGAACCTTTGCAAGTGAGTTATTTCCCATCTAAACCTCTTGAACAGTCATGTCAACAGCCTCTTCAAAATGCTTGAACATTGATTGGTCCTTGCACACATAAACTGTTGCACCAAAATCTAATCACCAACTAGATTTGACGGAAGTAATATTGATTTCAGAAATTATGGTCACAGAATCATTAATTTTTTAAGAAATATTCATGTTTGAAATCATGGCCATGAAAATCTTTAGCCATATTAGCATTTGCCTTCACCGTTGATATGTTCTTGTCTTTGGATGTGTTCTTATGGTGCCTGCACTCTTTTGCATAATGTCCCTCTTTGCCACAAACAAAACAGCTACCCTTTTTATTCTTCTCTGTCTTCTTAAATTTCTGTCTTTCTTGACTTTCAAGTTATTGTAGTTTTTGGATTGAAATCAATTACTCTCCACAACATTCACTTTGGTCTCATATAAACTAGAATTATCACATAAAAGTAACTCTTCCTCAATTCGAAGATGTTTTTGAATTTGGTCCAAAGTGATGTCCTCCGACTTGCGTAGCATCCTTTTTTCATAATTATTCCAACTTAGAGGCAATTTTACAATAATTGCTCCAACTTGAAAGGATAATCTTGGGCATGAATTTTGTTAGCAAGCACTTGCAATTCATGACCTTACTCCGACAAGGGTTTTGTATCAACAAATTTTAAATCAAAATATTCTGCAATCAAATATTTATTAGTGTCTTGCTCCTCTGCCTTGTATTTGAATTCAAATGCGTTACATATTTTTTGGCAGATTTCATCTCAATGAATAAATCATATAAACAATAAAAAAATGTGTTCAGATATGCCACGACAAAACAATTCATCCTCTTCATGTTTTTTCTTCTCCTTGTTGACCCTTTCAATGGCTTCTCCACTTGGCTGTCCCCCCTCAATTTTAGGTTTTAGATCCATCAGATTGAGATCTAGAATGTAAGAAATCCTCAAGGTAGTGAGAAAAAACATCATCTTGTCTCTCCAAAGAGCAAAATTGTTGCCATCGAAACGGTCTAGTTTCACCATGTCTTGATTCATGCCTTTGATTGACTTTGACTTCATTGTTGCGGAAATAATTCCTTAAAATTGTTAGAAAAAAAGTGAAAAGAATGGAATCAGACTTTGAAGTGTGAATGTACTGTCTTTAAGGAACTATTTGTTCCACAAGGTTATCAATGGTTACTAACAAAAATCTTTCGGGATACAACAAAGTCTCAAAATGAGAATATGTCTCCAAGGACTCTCAAGAGAAAACAATTAGAGAATAAATAATGTATCTTAAGAAAGAAAAGAAAATTGAAAATTATTGAACCACGTTGAATTTATAATAGTGTGCAAAATTATGTTTGAACAGATACAATATTTTCCTATGAAACGACGCATCCTTTTGCGAGTATACTGTGAGTGGACATGTTGATTTCACAATTACACAACTTTTCAAGTTTTAAAAACTACAAATTCGAATTTAAAAAATATAAGCATTGATTAGTGCCAATTCTAGTCCACAAGCGCGTAAGCGTACCAGGTGCTAAGTACGCCTAATAATCACGCAATTATTCGCACACCTGCATGCAGAGTCCACTTAGGCAATGGTCTTTAATTGTAAGGCTAGAAGCCTTCCACTTATATAATGGTCCACACGCTCATATCTTTTCGTTGCAAAACAAGGCACATTTTTCTTTGTTTTACAGACAAACTATCAACATAAACTAGTCTAGCACTGGGAAACTCGAAACTGTCAACTGCATACGGGAGAACAAAGCTAGTTCTTCACTCTGAATTTCCTCCTTTCCTTCATTACTCCTCATTTGGTGCAAAAAATACTGCTTCTAGATGCTTAATTCAAGATATAATGAAAACGATCAGCTCATATCATCCACAAAATGAATTCACAATTTTTCTTTTTCATTCACCCCTCCTTTCCCTCCCCCAAAATCTGACCTTGATAACTTAAAACGATAAAAGAGAGATCTTCGCATTTGCAGAAACTCAAATGACTCAGACCAATGTAGCCTCTGCTGATCATTTATAAGCTTCTGTTGATCATGTATAAGATACAATGATATAAATCTGTGGGATCTGTTGTGTCTTGAGTACCCATATTGATCTTGCCTAACAAATTCCTATGTTTTGGGTGCATGTAAGATAAGTATCTAGCTAACTACTCCTTGAAATAATCACGTTACTAACCACGCATAAGATATGTCGAATCAGTCATGAATTATACCAAACAGAAAGTTGCACTTCACACGCCTCTTGTTCTATCATCTCGGTAGAAAAAAGGAGTTTGTGCACCAAAATCTGCCATAAAGGGGCCAGGGCCTGGGCTTTTCCAGCTATTCAATGCATGCTCCCCCCCCTTTTCTCAGTAGTCCATTTTCGATTTCTAAATCGAAAGGATCCAATTCGAGATGATTTATTCAGATCCATGATGTTCACGGGCGCATTTAGAAACTTACCAACAAGATGTAGCGAAATCAATACCAAACTGATACCACTGAGATTTTCCTTTCAACATGGGTAGATGCATTATTAACCAACAAACGAGAGGCCACAATGTACTTTTTCTCCATGTAGGTGTCTAATGCGTTCATGTCATGCTTACCTGTAAACAGGTATTCCCAGAACCATCCACATGTCTTTACACATGGTCCTAATGTAGGAATGCCATCTTAAAAATCTATAAGGAAACAATTTATACACGAGAAGCATTCATTTTGCGGTACACAGGTAAGCAAATGAAGCAGAGACTAGATTGACCAAGATCGCTAAAACAAGATTTCAAGCAATTCGGTTGAGGAAAAAGGAGAAGATCCATGTTTCTTCGTCCAGCATATGTCTCTGCAAAGGCCATCTGAAAACATAGATGCATTGCAAGCACAGTAATTTATTTCAGATTCATTTCCCTGAACTACATTGGGTTAAATGCTAACTTGAACCATCTATTTACATGACCCTGGCCTTCCATGGGAGAGACATATCGGTTCCATTTCATAACTACCGAGTGCAGAAATGAATTCATGGGCCCCTATGACAGCGGAAAGTTCAGTGCTAAATTAAAATTCACGAGTCAATAACAATGCAGAGTAGAGCTAACCAACAAAAAGAAAAAAGAGGTCCATACCCAAGCATCCTTAAAATTGCCTTTCTTTTTGTACAGGAAAGAGGGAAGTGTGCAAAAATAAGAACACACAATAGTACCCACAATTAAAGCAGAACTAGCAACTTGTTCCACCATTTAAGCATCCGTAGTTGATTTATAGTGATATTCGTCAATAGTTGAATATATCAGACCCTCCTCTTCAAGAGTCCTGATTGATTCCCTGTTGACCAAAAGAAATTAAAAAGAAAGGGAAACCATTCACAAGTATGTAGTTAGTGTAAGTGAGGGTCCGGTGTGATGCATGAGCGCGTGCATGCTCTGAGAGAGAGTAAAAAAACAGAGAGAGAGAGAGAGAGATTACATGATCTTATTGACAGAAATTTTCAGTTGTTGCGCGATTTCATCTCTGTGGACACCCTTTTCTTGTGCACTACAGAAATCAGCGAATGAAAAAGGTTCAGCAAGCTAAAACTAAATCACGAATCAACATTTCCATTCAACCCCAAGGAACAGCTTCAGTTATGTTGCATTCCATCAAAGGAAAAAAAATTATAGCTAAATTTATCAAAATGCTAAAATTGATCCACTGGGAAGCACCATTTCTCCACAAAGACAAGATATTCTCCAGAGCCAAGCAGCCACTTATAATGAAGAATAATTAGCATCTCTAGTGCCTATAAATCAGTATTGGCCTAATAGATAGAAGGGGAAAACTTATGGAGACGTAAAGACTTCAGAGATTTATCTTACTAGTTTTGTTGTAGAAATTCAAGGACCTTCTGGTCACAGCCCTTGAGTCCATCAACAGAGAATTGTCCAGAAATCTATACAAAGAAGAATACAATCTCATGTGATCATGTACTTCAATGTATTCTGGATCTAATATGCAAGTAAACAGTCAAAAACTTCAAAAACCAGAACAAGTTCTTGTGTTTCACATACTTCACTTGTGGGAGCTACCAGAGACCCATTTGATTTGTTACTCATTGGAGTGCTTGTGGAAAAATCAGCCATTTGGGAATCAGCATTGGCATCACCCTGCAACTCCAGTGTAAGTGGCTATACATGTTAACCATAAATTTTCGTAATAACCAGCATATTGCATCATGTAACTTCTTAGTCGACAATGACGTGCACCAATAAGAGCATGAGTTACAAAAGTTTAAGCAGTACCTTTACTCTGCTTTTCTGCAAATGCTGGTGTATGCAATCAATAAAGTGGAAAGTAACTTCATCGAAATTGGTCACAGGCCTGCAAAACCATAACAAGAAGTTTAAACGAAAATAAAGTTAAAAAGTGTAAGAAAAGATACAAAATTAAGTTAATCCAAGCTGAGAAGTGGCATCTAACACGATCCATTCTGACATTTCACATTTCATTAGTTTGCTGTGCAATGAGACACTTGATTTACAAGATAAGATCAATAACGCACAAACAACTTCCTCATAATCTCAGATAAGTAGCCATAATGGAGGAGAATGATCACCTTCAATTACGAGATGTATCAAGCATATTAAAAGGTCTTGTACCCCATGGAAACTGCAATATTTCTCCGAAGGATCTTATGCTGCAATGTCGCTAGCTCCCATAGAGGTACTTATTTTTTGTTGCGTTCAGGTTTGTTATAACATACATAATTAAGAGCTTAAAGCTCTTTCACACCATCAATTTATGAGATGTATCAAGCTTATTAAAAGGTCTCATGCCCCAAGGAATCTGCAATATTTCTCCGGAGGATCTTATGCCGCAACATCGGTAGCACCTATAGAGGTACTTATTCTTTGTTGCGTTCAAGTTTGATATAACATACATAATTGGAAGCATAAGCTCTTTCACAGATGTAACCCACTGTTTTTATTTTTTTTTCTAATTAGTATGTATACAGTATGCCAAATTTTGGTTCATAACCTCCAGTACGAGAGCTATCATTTGCGGACCGACAATGAGAAATTTCTCCACAGGATTTAATATACTACTATAGGGATGGTAATATAACAACTCGTTTATGAAAGTTTACTATGATAAAGCTTCTCATAATCCATAATAACCGGTGGTTATGGATGATGCAGTATATCAGAGAGACAGAGAGACAGACAGACAGACAGACAGAGAGACCTTCAAACTACATGTATCATTTTTTCAACAGTGCATACACCAATATGAAGAGCTAAGCAAGAATATTTATGGATGCATAAGAAGCAAAGAACATGACATACCTAACAGCAAAGGCCACAAGTTGCTTTTTCCCCTGAGAACTTCTTAAGTGCCCGACAAGACGGACATATAGACCATCACTAGCAAAAGATGCACCAAAAATCAGTGAATTCTCTTAGGCTGTAAAACCTCATGGCCTGATTTATCAACAAATATTACAATTTACAGTGCAATCGCAATTTCAACAAGTGCAAAAAGCAACTATATAAAGAATAAAACATGGATTAACACTCACTGAATTTCTTCCATTTCCCTGGTGTCTGAACTTTCATTTACCCTATTCAGCACAGAAGATATAAATTATTCGGTGCAACCCATTAACTGATACAAGAAAAAAGGACAAGAGTATACTTTGGCTCCGCACAGGACCTCATCTACCATTATACAAGTACCAGCCAATACAATCACCTCTTCTTTGATGCCTCAGACTAAAACTCAAGTTGCTTAACGATTGGAGAAAGCATACAAGTTACGGGTGCTAATGAAATGAAATGCCCCAACCAGCAACATTACAGTCAAAGAGGAGGCTACCATACCATCTTCTGCATTCGACTCGCCCGGTCCCGTCATCCAAAGCGAAGCTCACATCCGTCACCCTCACGGTTTTCTCGGACACCATCCCGACCAGCGTGACCTGAAACAAACCGGGGAATCGCAACGTGACTTTGCCCAGAACAGAACATCATCAAACCCAGTGAAAAAGGAACTTCCTTTTCCGGTCTTTCCCGCGACCCAATTCCCAGAGCACGAAAGAAAAGACATCTTTAACCCAAGAAAGCCCCACTCACATTGGTCACGTCCACGCCATCGATGGAGAAGTTCGATTTCTCGTCCCCGGCTTGATGGGCTCCGCTCAACTGCTTCACCGTGACGGGCACCAACCCCTGCGTCCCCCAGCTCTGCAACCACAAAGGCCCCCGGGAAAACCCACGATCTCGATCAAGCTCGGAGATACCCAGCTCGACAAGCTAAAAAAGGGAGATGGGTATGCATATAGAGACCCCATCGGAACGCACGACACACGGCGAGAACCGCAGGAAGAAGATATACCTTGGAGGGGTTAGGAGAAGCGGCGTCGGCGGACTGGGTCGACTGGGAAGGCACGAAGCCGTCGAACTGGCTGCTCGAGAACATCATTCCTTCGTCGCAGAACCAGAGCAGAGAGAAGAGAGAGAGAGAGAGAGAGAGAGGGAGAGGGGTTTTGGCGAGTGTGCAGTGATGCTGCGCGCCAGAAAGATGCGATTTTTCCCGCTAAGAAGGAGAGGAGGATGGGCTGAAGTGGAGTTGGGCCGACTGTGAAAGGGATGGGCTCAAGTAGAGACATTGGTTAGGCTCATTATTCTTTGATGTGTTTTTACATGTTGGGGATAATTGGACCTAAGCATGTCTTTAAAAGACTTCATCTAGGTTCTCGTCCGAACTTCGTGGTCATCGGGATGTAAAACAGCTGGAGGGTATTCACTCTCCCTAGGGAAGAAAAAGATACTGGGGGAATTAGAGGTGCGAAGCGTGCGGGCACTGGCACGTTGAAATAAGGAATGCATCCGTTGAGCCTACCCACAAGAAGAGACAAACTGCGGAGGCCCTCGCTTTTTACACAAATGGTTTCTGAACTTTGGCTCGATGTTCAATCTCGCCCTTCGATTTGTTCAATATGGTTCCTTAATTCTAGCCCAATATGTAATGCCGTCCCTAGACTTGATCGCTAAACTTTTGGTAAATGTTCAATCTTATCCCTAAACTATATGAAACTTTTAATGTTGTCCTTCTGTTAATTTGTGTTTGGTCATTTTACCATCAAGCTCTACAGGGGATTAGGCCCATTACTATTGTATGTTTTTCATGTGTTATATAGTACGTTCCGCCGCGACATTATTATGTTAATTATAAAGATGAGGTCAAAATGACTTTGGAACCCTTCAACACGACTCCAAGGACAAATATTCAGGCACATGCTCTTTTTATGTAGATGCATTTCCAGGTAAATTCTTCCTGGACTTTCTCTACTTTTGACCTTGAAAGCATATCGACAACATTCGAACTTGCTACCTTGGACGACCTTCTCTGAGCTCTTCGTCAATGAACAATCTAAATTAGGACATGCATAGAGCTCAGAAGCCAAGTTGTTTGGTTGAAAGCTGTTTCTCTTTCTCCCTAATGATTTTTGGAACATGCGTTGGGCTTTTTATAGCTGCTTTCTGTGTTGCCTCCTATTGTCCTTAATGATTGTTTAAGCCTTCTTGTGGAATTACATTTCAAGCAAATGCACCGGGGTGGAATTTCTTCTGGTTTGCTCATATGATTGGAAAGCAATTTATGAAACCCTCCACATAAATTTCTGAAACTATGAAGAATCAAACAATTGTAACAACAAAAGTCAAGCTCTGAAATCTCATTGTACAGCTGACCGTGGACTTTGGGCCGCCAAAGGTCTTTGGGACAGAGTTGAGGCGTTTAGTTCAATATTCTCAAAGGCCTTTGAGTCAAAGTTAATATTTTCAAAATTCATTCCCAATGCAAATCCCACCCAAAATTGATATTCAGCATTTTAGGAATGCTGCTTTCAAAGTTAATGAATTTTTTTCTTTCAACTTTGCCCGCACTAACATTTCCATGTTCTAGTCTTGCCCTCATAAAATGACCGTTCATCATCTCTCTAAAAAAGTCTCATCATCCAACAAGTCAGATATTTTTTTTTGCTAAAAAAAGTCTCATCATCTGAGATCAGTCAAATGGAACCGATACTTCTATGTCGTCATCAGCAGTTCTACAATACACACGAGGAGGTGAAGCCAGCTGCAAGAGTACAACAATAGACGACATTTCCTGGTATTGTCTGATCTCATCGATTTGCCCCACCAAGAACTCCCATCTTAAATTCACAATTTATCATAGCATAGGAGGACAGGCCTTTAAAAGAAAATGATGTCTTCCTGGTGAAGCAGAACCTGCCCATACCATCAAATGGATCAAAAAAAAATCAACCCCGGATCTATGCTCGCATGCTTGAGGCTCGTCGAGGTCGAGGTCGACACTTGCCTGGTTGAGGCTTGCCAAGGTTGACGCTTGCCTCTGGTCTCCAATCTAGCTCATGCGAGGCTTGCCGAGGATCGCCCGAGCCTCTATCTCCCTATCTAGTTTTATGGCTAGAAGTGTAACCAAGAGGGGTGAATATGTTGATTATCAAAACTAAATATATTTTTGTGGAATTATCAAAATCAATTTTGGTATATATGGAAATAAGTTAAGAGATAGAAGATGATACATGCAGATCTTTATAGTGATTTAGCTTAGATCAAACCTACATTCAATCTCCCAAACCAACAGCTACCAATAGGTTGGAATCCACTAATAATCGTTTAAGTAGTTACAATGTAGCCCATGCTGCTTATGCCCGAAGCTTGTAAAAAATCAGACTACCAAATTTCAAGCACTATTACAACACTCGTACACTTCTCAAAAGGGATTTCAATCGGTGATAAAGTACTCTCTGTAAATGAATTTCTCGCTCACAACAAGAATACCTATGTATCCAAAGTAAGAAGCTTTCTCTATTAGTAGTTGTGTGTCTTCTTCGGCATGCATCAATTCAATCTCCGAACTACCCGTAAAATAATCTTTTAGATATTCAATTTAGCCATTGAAGATAAACAACAGAATAACCAGAGATCCGTTCTCCTAGACAATCATATCTTCCTGGTAATGGTGTAACTTACACAAATAGAGTTAGCTATATTAGGAAATAATCATTTTCCCAAGTGATTGCAATTGATTGGATTCTCCTATGTTTATTCCCTTTTTAAGTTTCAGGTCTGAGGCTTGCTATCAAATTCCTTGACACTTAGATTGATAGTCAAAGGAATATGCGATTCCTCTTTTCAGAATGTGCAATCACGTGAATGAGTTAGGAAAACGCTGAGAATTTTAATAATGACAAAACTCTCTCTTGCAACTTGTGGTTTGATGATGCGAGTGTTGTTTCCATCCATGTAACTATTGATGACTAAAGACCATTGAAACTATCATAGACACTGCATGAAAGAACTTGAAAGATTGGAAGGACCTTAAGGGTGAACAAGTCAACGAGAATGAGAAGTTGGTGAGGACTTGGAGAAACAAATAGGTGACATATCTGTGGAAGTCAAATTGACATGTGTGCTCAAGAATAATCGATGGAGTTTGATAAACATAACAAATGTTAACTGGACCACCTGGTAGAACCAAGAAAAGTTGAGAGAAGCTACGACTTATATCAAATTGAGAAGATCGCTTCTGGACAAGTGACATGGTGAAGACCTAGACTTTCTTTTATCGTTACTACGTTCAAAGGAATCAGAAGGCCAATCACAAGCCTAGAATTATGGATTTATTCACTTCAAAGAGAACTCAATCTATTATTCATCGTACCGTTGGACAAGGATTATTTCCTAACTCAATGAATTTATTCATGGCAATGACAAGATTGCTGGAAGATATGATTATATGGCCAACCAAATGTTCGGTGATTTTATTGGAATCTACAACGGCTACATGGATCATTCAAACGGTCAACTTGAGGATTAACTCCAATGTAATACAAGATAGACAGACGAACTCCAAGAATTGTAAGAATACTTTATGCACTTTGTGATATATTGATTTTGCTTATTGAGATTCATACACTAATTGTTAATCTTCTGAGAAATGTATGAGTACTTTAGTACTGCTTGTATTCGTGGTAGTGTTGTGATCTACCAGCTTTGAGTAGAAGCAACAAAAGTTACATTTGTAACATCTGAAGAGCTACTATTGAATTCCAGCCTTGTTGGTGGCTATCATCTAGAAGAGTTGACCTAGGCTTATCTCAAACCGAACCACTATAAACCTGTGTGCATCTATTTCTATCTCATTTTACTTCTTGTTTCATTTATTTGATAGAAGCAAAACGCATGTAGTTACTGCTCATATCTAGTTTGTTCTTGCACATACAAACTTTGCTTCCACTCAATTCCGCAAAAAGTTGTTAAGTTTGCGAAAGGAAAGATGACACAAGCAGTCTTTGAATTTTAGTTCAATGTGCAATGTGGTCCCTGGACTTTTAATTTGTTTAATGTAGTCCCTGAACTTTAACCCGATATGCAATGTGGTCCCTGAACTTTTAATTTGTTCAATGTCGTCCCTAAACTTTTGACACATGTTCAATTCAGTCCTTGGACTTTATGAAAATGTTAAATGTAGTCCTTCCATTAATTCAAAGACTACATTGAACATTTTCATATAGTTCAGGGACTACATTGAACAAATTAAAAGTCCAAGAACTACATTGCACATTGAGCCAAAGTTCAGGGACTGTTTATATCATTATCCCTTTGTTAAATAACCTATTCATCCCCTCTTTAGGTTTTATCACTAGCCACAACAAAATGCACGTTTATATCAAATGACATAAAAAGCTGCTTATATCAACGATCAGTGAGTCTATCCAAGCTTCCCGCTTGTAGTTAACTTATGTACTGCTTTTTATTTAATCTTCCTAAGTATATTAGTGATCAAGGCTTCATAGAACTGTTCCCCTTATGATACCTCCAAGTCTCCCCGAACTTCTTGTTCTTCCCGACTTGTTCACCCACTATCAAGGTCCATCGAATCTTCGTGAGTCTTTCAACTTTGTACCTCGGATTATATCAATGGTGATAAAGCATCTTCGTATCATTGTTACCTAAATTAAAACAACATCCGCTTTTATCGAGTAATAACGAGAAATATATAATTTTGTCAACATCAATATATAATGGGAAAAATTAGCCAATCAGTCATAAACATATTATACGGATGTCAATTTAATTCTAAACTTTTCAATTTTGTCCTAAACTTTATGCGAAATTTCAATGTAGTCATTCTGGTCAATTTTCGTCTAAAATCGCCGATGTGGCGGTCCTTATCGTTGGCTGTCCTACATGGCACATCACTACGTCAGAGATTTCTGTCGAAAATTGGCTAAAAGAACTACATTGAAATTAGTTTTAGGACTAAATTGGTAAAATTGAAAAGTTTAGGACTGAATTGACATTCATACAGTAGATTAAAGATTGTTTAGACAATTTTGTCAAATATCATAAGAGGTTTTATCAACATCTAGCTCACCAGAGATCGTGACCTCGACAACAGGTTAACTTAGAAGCTTTCAACCTTCCCTATGCCGCCGAGGGTCGCCCGAGCTCATCCATTGTTCTGTTGCTATTTTTTTCTTCATTTTTAACTATTACAAGGTTTGGTGTTTACCAAATACTATTTACACTTCAACAAGACCCTTTACTCCAAAATACTTTGTATTCATGCAAAGGTTATGAGTAAATGCTCTCCCAAACACACCCGAAAGTGGTCGTGTTGAGTTCGTTTATTCGCAATACCGGCAAAGCAAAACTCATACGTTCCATAGTTTTAGGATTATGAGCTCATTTGATGAATGGGATTTCAATACTCTGGAGGAATTTTAGATGTCCACTCAATGTTAAATAAAATTTACTTCGATCGCTGTCATGCTTCTTTCCGAAATACAAATTAGTTTTAGTACACCACTCAAACTTATCCTAGAAAGGAACTTTATAAACCATACGTTACGCTACCGGCGGGCTGACCAGCGACCCTAGATTTGCAGCAGATGTCAAATGCTGGTGCGCAGAAAGAAACGAGCACGACACTCGTTTCGTTTTACCCTGAACAAAATCATGGACAGAAGAGGGGTCGACAGAAACCATGAAGCGAAACACAAAGGCGGATGCACAAGGAGATCCAAGAAGATCGTGGAATTCAGCTCGGAAGATGACTTCCAACACTTCCAAATCTTTGATTATCCGTCAGCTCGCATGCATTACTTGGACATCCACTGTTAACAATTTAAAATTCGTGTTTAGGTCGACATGGACACGGCGCGAGCATGATCCCGATGTGGATAACGAACGCCGAAAGACCTGTCATGGCAGAGGACGCGCGCCTGATGTGGGTCGTGCCGAGCTCCACTCGCCGATGTCATACATAACTTTTATAGTGACAGAGGAGTAAGGGCTTGTTTGTTTTTCCGCTTAACTAAAATCAAACAGTCCCGCCAAAACTTAAAATATCAATAGAATTACAAAAAAATCACGAAAATATTATAAGTGAATTCACGGATCGACATCTATATTATGCAAACATAACAAATATTTCAAATTTAGAAAAAAAAAAAAAGTCAAAGCGTGTGAGTCGCAAGATTTTGATTGAGCAGAAAATGAAAAGGTAAAATTTAATTCAGACGTACCCTAATTATAGCAAGGCTTCCCCGGTTAACTTTTTTCGGGTTCAAGCTTATATTAAAACAACAACAAGTGAAATTAAAAAAGAAGTTCGGATAATCAGTTCATTCATGTATATCATCCATTCAATATGTTTGCGAAAATAATTTTTTTTTCCAATTTTTAAAGTACAAAAAAGTATCCGACCCAAAAAAAAAGTACATAAAAGTAATTCAAACGATAATGATGGCTCTTCTCTATCGCCCTCCACATATTTTTTTATCCTCAGAGCGGCCAAAGGAATATTTTTTTTTTTTATGATTGTAGCTTTCTAAAACAATTAAAAAAGAAACAAAAATAATAATAAAAATCTGCAAAACCCGAATCCTTTGCTTCAACTGGTGTGGCATCTGACCTTGATACCCTCGGGAAATGGAATCATTCCATTCTCCTCCATGGAATGATGGGATCCTCTCGTGAATGATCGAAAACGATGTCGTCGTTTTCATTGTATTTCTCTAGTGGGGCCATGAAAAATGATGATGTGAATTTTAAAATGGAAAAGGAGAAATAAAGTAGTGAATTAAAAAGTCAAAAGCAAAAGCTATTATCTGACTTTAAAAATTCGTGGCTTCTAGATGAGAAAAACATACTAGTTCTTGACAAATTTAAAAGAGCATTCACACCACAAAAAATCTCAAACTGATACATTTATTATAAATTTATCCCGAATTTATTTTTTTACCACAAAAAACCCCAAAATGGTATATCCGTGATAATTTTACCTTAAACTAATTTTTTGACCATAAAAAATTCTAAACTGGCACATTTGTGACAAATTTACCCTCCGTTAAATTAGATTAATACCACGAAAAATCACAAAGAAAAACCATAATCTGGCACACATGTGACAAATAGAGGGAAAAATCCCAAACTGGTACACTCGTAAATTGTCACGTGTCATCCAACTCAAAAATTTGACAGTAAAATTTAAAGGAAAGCCCAAAAAGTGAAATCAATGGAAGAATTTGATTGAACCAGACTTAATTGCACTTTTTGAAAGTTTTAAGACTCTATTGCACTTTCGTAACTAGTTTTAAGACTTAACTGCACTTTTTGAAAATTTCAGGAGTCGGTTGTACTTTCGTGGCAAGTTTTAGAACTTTATTATACTTTTTGAAAATTTTAAGATTCAATTGCACTTTATGACTTCTAGTGCACTTATTCTAGAGAAATAAATATATATCGTACTTAATTTGACTAAACTTCGAGGCCAACAATTTCATTTTCCGTGGAGAAAAAGTCAAGCAAAAGACATTTACGTCAATGTCTAAGACTTCTTAATTCTAGATTTCGCTGTCAATTCAACTTTGGAGAAAATTATCATAGTCATGGTTCAACTTTTTTTTAGGGGTAAGTGCACTTTAAGTCATAAATCTTGTCATGAAAGTGCAATTGAGCCCTAAAACTTTCAAAAAGTGCAGTCAAATCCTAAAACTTATCCCAAAAGTTCAATTAAATCCTAAAACTTTGAAAAAGTGCAATCAAGTCCTAAAACTTGTTAAGTTGTTGATTAAGTCCTAAAACTTGTTGGCATTTTCCATTTGTCAAGTTGAACAGAGTTAATAGAAGGACTTGATTGCATGACATTGACAAGTTTTAAGACTTGATTGTACTTTTTGAAAGTTTTATGACTTAATTAGACTTTAATGACAAGCTGTAAGATTTCCAATATACTTATCCTTTTTTTAATGATGTAGTGGCATGATGGTAACATTTGATAATTTGGAGGAAAAGTAGCATAACAACCCACCAATATAATCCCTACTTATATTTGTGTCCCTAAGTTAGGATCAAACCCACAACAATCAGTTCCTGAATCGGGTAATTGTGGTTCAATCCCAAAATGGGCAAATTGTGGTTCAACTTCTCTCGTTTGCTTTTGTAAGGGTTGATCGAGTGGTAAGACAACTGCGATTTGCGCCTTAAGAATCTTAGGTTGCGAATAACAATCATTATGTTTCTCTATTTCTGTTTCAGAAATAAGTTTGGAACAGAAATATGTTTGATAATGCAATTTCATTTTTCAATTTCTGGAACAAATTTTGATTTTAGAAATAGGTTTGGAATAGAAATGAGAAGTAAAATTTTTTTACTTTTCTATTTTTGGAAAAAAATGAGAAATAAAAATTTTTCTCATCGCTCGTCCTCGTTACTAGCCGGTTGCCCACCCGCCGCCCATTGCCGCCCACTTGCCAGCCGCCATCTCCTGCCGTTTGTCATCTCCCGCTGCGGGCCACTGTCTCCAGCCATCGACCGCCCTCCTCCGGCCATCGCTTGGGCAGCCACCCATCGCGGTTCACTTGCCGGCTGCCGCCTCCTGCCATTTGTCGTCTCCCTCCGCCGGTCGCCCTCCTCCCGCCGTGGGTTGCCACCCGCCTTGCGCCTGCCACCATCTCCCACCACTGGCCGCCCTCCTCCCGCTGCCGCCCACCATGGGCTGCCACCCGCCGTCCGCCGGCCACCATCTCTCGCCGCCGGCTGCCCTCCTCCTGCTGCAGCCCACCATGGGCTGCTACCCGCCGACCGCTCTCCTCTTATCGCAACCCATTGTGGGCCCCCACCCGCCGTCTGTCGGCCGCCCTCCTCCTGCTGCCGCCCACCATAGGCTGCCACCCGCTGTCCGCCGGCCACCGTCTCCCGCCACCAACCGCCCTCCTCCCGTCGCAGCTCGTCGTGGGCCCTCACCCGCCGTACGTTGGCCATCGTCTCCTGCCGCCAGCCACCCTCCTCCCGCTGCCGTCCACCATGGGCCGCCACTGGCTGTCTGCCGGCCACCGTCTCTCGCCGCCGACCGCCCTCCTCCTGTCGCAGCCCGTCGTGGGCCCTCACCCGCCGTACGTTGGCCATCGTCTCCCTCCGCCAGCCACCCTCCTCCCGCTGCCGTCCACCATGGGCTGCCACTGGCTGTCTGCCGGCCACCGTCTCTCGCCGCTGACCGCCCTCCTCCCGTCGCAGCCCACCGTACGCCGCCCACCGTCTCCCGCCGCCAGCCACCCTCCTCTTGCTATCGTCCACCATGGGCCGCCACTCGCCGTCCGTCGGCCACCGTCTCCTCCTGCCGACCGCCCGCCTCCCGCCGCAGCCCGTCGGAGGCCCCCACCCGCCGTACGCCGGCCACCGTCTCCCGTCGCCAGCCACCCTCCTTTTGCTGCCGTCCACCATGGGCCGCCATTCGCCGTCCGTCGGCCACCGTCTCCCGTCGTCGACCGCCCTCCTCCCGTCGCAGCCCGTCACAGGCCCCCACCTGCAGTACGCCGGCCACCATCTCCCGCCGCCAGCCACCCTCCTCCCGCTACCGTCCACCATGGGCCATCACTTGCCGTCCGCCGGTCACCGTCTCTCGCCACCGATCGCCCTCCTCCCGTCGCAGTTTGTCGCGGGCCCCCACCCGCCGTACGCCGGCCACCGTCTCTCGCCGCTAGCCACCCTCCTCACGCTACCGTCCACCATGGGCCGCCACTCACCGTCCGCCGGCCACCGTCTCCCGCCGCCGACCGCCCTCCTCCCGTCGCGGGCCCCCACCCGCCGTCCGCTGGCCACCGTCTTCGGCCACCCTCCTCCCGTTGCTGCCCACCAAGGGCAGCCACCCGCCATCCATCGGCCACCGTCTCCTACCACCGACCGCCCTCCTCTTGCTACCGCCCACCAAGGGTCGCCACTCGTCGTCCGCCGGCCACTGTCTCCCATTGCCGACCGCTCTCCTCCCGTCGCAACCCGTCGTGGGCCCTCACCCGCCGTCCACCGGCCATCGTCTCCCGCTGCCGACCACCCTCCTCCCGTTACCATCTGCCTTCTGTCGTTGCCGCCCCACTCTCGCCCTCCTCCCGTCGCCTGCCGCTGCCCGACGCCGGCTGCCTCCATCCGCCGTCCTCCGCATTGGTCGCGTCGCCATCCGCCGCCACCTCCCCCGCCGTCCGTCGCTTGTCGTTTGATGCCACTGTCCGCCGCCTGCCATCCACCACTACCATCCGCCCGCCGTCCACTCGCCGGTCACTCGAGAGGAAGAAATTTTGTGCCGTTATCAAACAAAATTTTGTTTCGAGAACAGAAATTTTGTGTCATTATCAAACGCGTATTTTTGCTCAGAAATTCATCCATGAAACAGAAATAAAAATTTTGGCCAGAAATTGATTTCTGAAACAGAATAGTTATCATTCACAGCCTTAAGGTATTGGGTTTTATATCTTCTTTTTGTAACCGCTTGAAGCTAAGTTATAAGAAAGTAACATTCCGGGTATCCCACAATCCTGGTGAGGACATGACATGCCTTTACCGGATTAACGAGATATACTTAGTCTAGTGCGTAAAAACTAACTTTATACCATCCGATCACTTATAAGAAAAGAAATCTCAAACTAGCAAGGTTCTTTTCCCTCAAATTAGTGTCGTTATGAGGTTTTTTTTCCCCTTTCATTTGGACCGAGTTATGTGTGTGTTGGTTCAGACAGGCATCGAAAGGTTTAATACAACATACGTATGTATAATTAGAGAAATTAACTGGAAGCAACTACAGACTGAGTCCTAAACCTATTGTATGGGTACGGATGTCTGTTCAGTCATGTACTTTTTAATTTTTTCCAATTGAATCCTAAAACTTTGCGCAATATTCCAATGGAGTCCTTTTGGCCAATTTTCACTTGAACTTGTTGACATGGTGTTGTGCGTAGGACGGCCGACAATGACCGAACCGCCACGTCAACGAATTTTTGCGAAGATTGACCGTAATAATTATATTGAAATTTCGCATAAAGATTTGAGATTAAATTGACAAAATAAGAAAGATTATAACTGAATTGATGTTCATATAATAAGTTTAAAATTGATTAGATAATTTTCCCGAGCAACTGCCCATGCAGTAACTCATAAGTGGTGATAGAGGTGGGGTGCTGGGTTGCCACCGTGGACGCACAACTGATTGATGATCAAGAGCACAATATAAAATTAAACACAATTACAAAGAAATTCACGAATTAATTTGTGATACTACCTTAATAAACAATAGGATTGTTTTCTTTGTAGCTAGTCATTGGCGTGGGGAAAATTCCAACTATCCCCTTCAAGTGAGGCTCCTTTTTTTTTTTTTATTTAGCAAAAGTGTCCTCTGCACTTTAGCTTTTGTCAAATTACCCATTTGTGCTTGACAAATGTGGACCCACGAGTCCCCTCCGATGGTTGCCGGTGGAAAATTTGGCCGGCCGGGAGACACGCGCATTGCACGTGCACATTTTGTTTGAATCTCGTGGACACTTATAGGAAGATTAAAAGAAAAATAAACCCTTAAGATTGAGAGAGAGGGAGAGAAAGGCCAATAGAAAGAGGAGGGCGAGTGGCGGTGCTGCCACTGCCCTAGAACCGGCAAGGGTTCGATATCCCTTGCGCGGCTTAGGCGTAGAAATCACATCCGACGCATTGGTTTGGCCACAAAGTTCTACGAAGTTAAGTGTAAAAAAAAAAAGACCAAATTCTCCACCCTAATTGATATTTTTAAGGCTCAACCTTCACTAACTACTATATTATCATTGCGTACCGATGTTAGCTTCTACACATTTCGCATTATGGTTAACTTCGAAAATTTTAACCCATAATGTCTAAGGAAGCAATAAGAAAAATGGGATATGTGTACTGGAAGTCCTAAAAGTTATCACGAAAGTGAAATTAAGTCCTAAAACTTGCAAAAAAGTGCAATCGAGTCCTAAAACTTGTTAAATTGGTTCAATCGAGTCCTAAAATTAACACCGTCTATCATACTAATGAAAAATACTGACGTGTCTTATTTTATTACTTTTTCTCGACACGTGACGATGATGCGGCATCCAACAAGCGCCACGTTAGAAAAAGTAATAAATATAAATTAAATTAGAAAAAGCTAAAAGTTATAAATAAATAAATAAAAAGCAGACCCACAATTAGTAGCTATGGCCAAGCCCTCATTGGTGGCCACCACCACAGCCGTCGGGAAGGGCTGACAGAGGTCGCCTGGGCCTCTCGAAGCCTGGCGACCCTTGCCGGCTCTTGGCGAGGGCATGTAAGGCTCGATTTGGGTGAGGGCGTGACCCTCGCCCCAATTCCGACTGATGGTCATGCCCTCCCCCTGATTAGGTCCTTCAAGCCCTCACCTGAGGTCGGTGAGGATCGTCGGGCTTCAAGAAGGCCTAGGCAACCTCCGTCGGCCTTTCCCAGTAGCTATGGTGGTGGCGGCCACCGGCGAGATTGTGTATACGTTTTTTTTATTATAAATTATTTAACTTAGTTTTTAATTTAAATAAAATTAGTATTAAAAATCAAATTTGGGTCAAAACGACGTCATTTTTAATATTTCATAATTTAACCACATCATCGCCACGTAGGAAAGAGAAAATATTAAAATAAGCCACGTCACATTTTCCGTTAGTAAGTTAGATGGTGTTAATTTTAGGACTCGATTGAACCAATTTGACATGTTTTAGGACTTGATTGCACTTTTTGAAAGTTTTAGGACTCAATTTCACTTTTGTGATAAGTTTTAGAACTTCCGGTGAACATATACCTATGAAAAATACTTACTAGTCATGATAAACAACGAGATCGTCAAGAGTGCTTAAAGCAACATTTTGGACCCTTATCGGTTCATGGCGATGCTTCAATCTAAAGTGACAAATGCAGCGGTGGTGCGTATGCTTGAATTTGGTGAGGGACACTAGGCCCTCGCCAATTCTGGAGCAACACCGCCTTTTTTGGTTATGGTGTGAGTGATAACTATTTTGTTTTCTTGTTTTTTTATTTTTTTGTTCCCGGAAATAAGTTTGGAATAGAAATCTATTTAGTAAAATAATTTCATTTTTCTATTTCTGGGACAAATTTTTAGCTCAAAAATAGGTTTGAAACAGAAATGAGAAGTTAAAATTTTCTGCTTCACTCACTTTTATTGCTCGCCCTCACCGCCCAACTGCTAGTCGTTTCCCGCTTGCCGCCGACCGTCACCCCCTGTCATTCGCCGCCGTTGCCTGCCTGCCTGCCATTCGCCTCCACTCGCTGCCCGTTGGCTGTCACCCACTGGCCGTTTGCTGTCCATCACCTCTCATCGTCTGCCGCTGCCTGCCTGATGTCGCCCGATGTTGCTCGGTGTCGCCCGCCACCCTCCGTTCGCTCATCGCCGACTGGTCAGCCGTCTACCTCTGCTTGCCACCTGCTCGCCGCTAGGAACAGAAAATTTAAGAATAACTTATCAAAAGAATTTCTATTCCGAGAATAGAAATTCTGTGTCGTTATCAAAAACTACTTTTTACTCAGAAACTCGTCCAAAGAATAGAAATAGATTTTAGCCAGAAATAGGGTTGGAGAGGAGAAATTTCATCATTCACTCCCTTAGCTTTCTCCTTTACTCTGCCTCTATGTGCCTTCCTCTCTCCATATCGATGGGGTTTACTTCTCATCTTGATTTCTTGTACAATGCTATATTTTCGGCCAAATATGCCCATGAGATCGAGGCAAAATAATGTGCATGTGCGATGCACGTGTTCGCCGCGCGGCCAAATTTTCCACCGGATATTTATTATTGTAGGGGGCCCCATTATCCATGCTTGTCAAAGCACAGGGTGTTAGTAGAAAAAATTCAACTTCAGGAGATACTTTGGCAAAAGGGCCTCTTTTCAAGTTGATAATTGGAACTTTTCCCAGTTAGCCAATGTTCTCGTGACACGTCGTAACTCCTCATAGGCCCGTGTCCTCGCGATACGCGACAAAATGTCGATTTCCTTGGACCTTCTTACTTTCATTGATTCCGGTCACATTAGCGCTCTTCACTTACCACTTGGGGCGCGAACGATAACCATTTTATTTTTGGGAATAATTTTTTGCCACAGATTTTTCTAATTCTATTCTCTGGACGAGTTTTCGAGCAGAAAGTAGAGTTTGATGATGACATAAAATTTCTGTTCCCGAAACAGAAATTCGTTTGATGGCGTCGATATAAAATTAGTACATCGGCGGGCGAGCGGCTGGCAGCGGCGGGCGGGCGACGGCCAACGGCGAGAGCGAGCTCTAAGAAGAATTGTTATTTCTATTTCTATTTCAGAAATAGAACATTTCTATCCTAAATATATTTCTGGGCTAAATATTTTTCTCGGAAATAGAAAAAATGAAATTGCATTGCTAAACGAATTTCTGTTCCAAACTTATTCCGGGAACATAAAAATAAAAAATAGAAAAATAAAATAATTATCATTCGCACTCAAAATACTCATGTCTACCAACGGAAAATCGCTCACTCCTCCTCTTACAACCTCTCCGCCTCACTCCGAATCAAATATTATTTCTAAGCGAAAAATCGCTCACTCCTCCTCTTACAACCTCTCCGCCTCACTCCGAATCAAATATTATTTCTAAGCGGCGCTAATTAATCCTTCCGCGAGAAATCTCGAGACAGGGCCCCACTCCAACGAAACCCCCTGTCCCCGTGACCTAATAATAAATTTTTTTTTTCCCGCTTAGGTGCGAAAATTCCGCCGGGGTCTCTCAAACTCGACTAATCACTGGAATTAGCCCTTAATGAATTAACTATGGAAACCCTAAGAGAAGAAAAAGAAAAGAAAGAAAGAAAGAAAGAGAGGGTTAAGGGCGAAAGAAAAGTAAACGATTAGGAAGAAAAGCAAATAAAAAAAAATGGAGAGGAACAGTAAAACATTGACGTTTCCTTTCCTCCTTTTTTTTTGTTCCTTTCGTTTTTCAATTTTTTTGTGTGTGTGTTTTTGGCTTAAAACAGGGAAAATGCGTGGAATGATATGGAACGGGAGGAGGCGTGCGGACCGGGGGAGGTCAAAAAGTCGGGACGCGAGGGGGGGGGGGGGGGGGGCGGGGGGCATTCCCGTCATTTCGATCCCCATGGCATGCGCTTTCCCTTTCCTACCCCTCCCCCCTCTCCTCTCTCTCTCTAGAGAGACTCTTCTTCTCTCTCTCTTTCGGTCATTCTGGTTCTCGCAGAGAGAGAGAGAGAGACTCTGCTTGCTGCGAAACTGACTTTCTCCAGAGCTTCGCGAGCAGTTCCTCACCTCCGCCCCCCTCCCGAGGAGCGACGCCGCCGCCGCCGCCGCCGCCGCTTCGGGAACTCCCTCCGCCGCCGCCGATTCCCCGGGCACTGTTCCATCGGTTCGGGGTGGCTGGCGGTGCCGGCGCGGCCCGCCCCAGGACGGAGTCGTGCCGCCGCGCGACGGTTGTGATTGGCGGCCCGCGGGGCTGAACTCCTCGCGCCTCGGACGACCCCGTTCCCCGTCTCCGTTCCTCGTTCCAGGTGCGAGCTCAGTCTGGGTCCTTCGTGAATTTTGCGTCGGTGATCGGAGGAAGCATCGGTCCGGGAGCTTGTTTCTGGTCCGGCGCTTCTTGTCTTCTTGTTTTTTTTGTTTTTGGCTTAGTGGGTAGTCTTCGTCTTTTCTGAGGTGTGTGTTCCAGTTTTCCCCCTCTGTTCTTGGTTTGATCTTCATCGTTTGGCGTGATCTTTTTCTTTTTTTTTTCCCTTGTTTTTTGGGCTGAATCTCTTTTTTTGTGATCGGGGCGATAAACCCTCCTTCTTCTAGTGGGAGCTAATCGAGGTCGATTTTCTGTGGGCTTGAATCGGGTGCGTGTATCGATGCTCCGCGACTTTTCAATCGATCAATTTGAGGATTGCCCGATGATGGGTACCAAAGATGTGTTGACTTTCGTGCCGTTACTTTGAAAGGCTTCTGTGCTTCGACGTGATTGCCGTGATGGTTGGATTGGGGTTGACCAGTCTGTAAAAGATGGTTTCTTTACAGTGAAAAGAAATCTTGTAGCGAAATGAGGGCTCTGAGGATTGTATTTGGTCAGTCTCAAAGGATGTCTCGGTTTTTTTTTTTTTTTTTTGGGGTCGGAAGATGTCTCTCGTTTATCTGATAGATAACTGACAGCCTTTTCAACATTAGATGGAGTACTGGACTGCGGGGGTAGAGAGAGAGAGAGAGAGAGCCTTAAGAAGGAAAACAATCTGGAACAGTTGAGGGTATTTTAGAGGAAGCAGACATTCTGGATATTGAATTTTATCATAATTCTGCCATGGTGTTGCAAGGCTCAGTCCTAGGGCTTGAATTTTTAATGGGGTAGTCATACTGGTGTACTACGAGTTGACTGCACCTTCACTTTATGTGGATTCGGAGATTGGATATCTTGTTAGATCAACAGTGTTCATTTTTGCTTGCCTGAAGTTGATACTCGAGTTCAAAGATGAAAAGAAGTGTCACGTACAAGCAACAATGTAAATTGATTGTGGTTGTTAGTCAACCATACGTGGTACATATTTGTAAGGAGATTTTTAATGGATCTTTCAAATTTTCAAATCATTTATTGGTCTCACAACGTTTTATCGATGCTTACAGGCATAGATGCTATTTGTAATCACATGGTCATGGCTAGCTTTTCCTTCAGAAATCATTCCTTTATCATCTCCAAATGACTTGAACTTTTGCTTGTACAGCATTTTAGTCTCTATGAAGTAATTGTCCTTTGGATTGATTGTGACATAAGATTCCGTAGTTCAGGGTTTGTTCTCAGCAAAAGCATGTCATTTCCAATTAGCTTTCACTACCCTGATACATATTTGCGGTGTTTGGGTACTTGCAGATTCACATCAGTAGTCTCGAGTCTCCACAATCGCAAGAAATTTGTGTAAAGGGATCTGGTCAGATTTGGTCATGGAGGGTAATCAGATGGATATTGACTGGGAAGATGTGGTTTGTCCTATATGTTTGGATTGTCCTCACAATGGTGTTCTTCTCCGGTGCTCGTCTTTTGATAAAGGCTGTCGTCCCTTTGTATGCGACACAGATCACTTGCACTCCAACTGTTTGGACCGGTTTAGAAGTGCATATGGTGTGAGATCTTCTTCATCTCCCGAAACTTCTTCCACATCAAAAACAGAGCCTGTAGAATTGGATAACGGCTGTAGGCCGACCTGCCCATTGTGTAGAGGAGAAGTTACTGGATGGGGTGTTATTGATGAAGCACGTGTTATTCTAAACGATAAGAAGCGTTGTTGTGATGAGATCCGATGTCTGTTTAGTGGAACCTACTCTGAGTTGCAGAAGCATGCACAAGTAGAGCACCCTCATGCTCGGCCCTCAAAGATCGATCCTGCTCGGCAGCTTGATTGGGAGAATTTCCAGCAATCATCAGAGATCATAGATGTCTTGAGCACTATCCATTCAGAAGTTCCCCGAGGTGTAGTTTTGGGCGATTACGTTATTGATTATGGTGACAATGATACTGGCGATGAGTTTGAGGACTTCCCAGGTGATGAAGGCAATTGGTGGACATCATGTATATTATATCAGGTATTTGATAACTTTAGGAGTTCTAGGAACAGAAGAAGGTCAAGAGTTGGTGATACAAGAAGAGGAACTCGACATTCTACATATGATACATCAAATTCTGATGAGGGTTCTGTTACCTCTGTGGAGTATGCAGATTACCGACTAGATGATATGGATGATGACTTTGCCAGTGCAAGGGGTTCCTCAAGGACAAGCTCTAGGCATCGCAGGTTAGTGAAGCTCCCTTTGTGCTTTGATTATTGCAGAGCCTGTTTGATCACATATTGGTTTTGTTTATCAACAAAAGCTTCTTTGGTTGTTGGTTCACTGACTTCAGGTTTTCTTTGTTTGTTTGTTTGTTTTTCAAGTAGTCTGATTTTTCTTCTTTCATTTGTTAAGATAGATTGCAGCCATTTTGTTCATTAATTTCTGGGAGAGGATGTTGGTAAAATGAATTTTTTTTATTTGATTGCACCGGTACCTTTTCAATGGAAGTTTCTGTTAAATTTTCCTTTTGAATTCGCTTTCTCCATGCATATGCGTAATTTGTTGCTGGTGCAAAAAGTTTTCTGGCAACTTAGGGGTGCTTATTTCTTAAGTTCAGTGTGGAGTTGAACAATATCGGATGAAATAATCTCAGGAATGTTTGGCTAGATCCCCAAACTTGATGCAACGAGAGATTGGTATGGGAAACTAGGAAAATAGTACTTTTAGCGTGTCGGTAAGTTACTCTTTGAGGTTTTGGTGGACATGGCTGTGTCAAGTGTATTACCTTTAAGAGATCACAAGTCCTTTATTTCTCCTTGTTTGTTAACTGTTTTGAACCAAGGATGATTTGATTTGGTGAAGCATCATAAATTAACATGATACGAGATGGGTACCTGGTCCTGCAGACCATTATAAGTAGTTTGTTACATCGACATGCAGCAACAGACATGCAGCAATAGACATGCGCTTTGAATTAACTCTTCAATTTTCTCTGTTTTTTTTTAAGAATAATTCTCTGAACTCTCTAATCCAAATGTTCTTTGCTTCTTTAAATATAACAGCTCCCGGAGGCGGCGTTCTCGCTTTTATGATAACTAGGTAACGTACTCACCTTCCTTCTGCCCTTCACATTTACGTGTGCATCTAAAACTTGATGAAGTTTCTTATGTTTTAGCTGAATTACGTGTCTAGCAGTTATATTGCAACTCTGCTGGGTTCAATTAATTGACCGCAAAACTTTTCCTGAGTGTTGGAAGATTAAAGCAGGACTAGAAATTGTTAAAAGAGCAGCATCTCTTGTTTTTTAAAAACTTACCTGTTTAATGAAACTTTGTTAATTGCTCTTCCCAGCTCATGGGGCCTGAGGGTAGTGGACGTGGAGGTACAGACGAACGCCGATGACAAAATTGTGGGAGTCTCCAACAAATCACATCGATTGGCTTTTCCTAGTCGAAAGATGTTCTGACTTGATCATTCTGTGGTTTACTGATGACTGATTTCGATATATAAAAATTCTCGGGATGTCCCCTTCTCACATTGTCGGTTGCTTTATTTTGCTGTATGTATGGAACTTTGAAGAAGTGGATCACTTCATAGACCAGGTACACTTATAACATCAAAGCTATACCTGCAGTGTCATGCTTGGAATGGCCATTATTTGAAGTAGAAAGCCGCTGAACTGCGGAGCTTTCCCCTTGTGCGGGGATTTTAGGATATGCTCCCATTCAATGTACATGGAGATTGTTATATGAACTTTTAATTTCTCTTTAGAAAATGGTGCACATGTGGGTTGGTATGAACTACTTGTTGTGTAGGTTCACTTTTTAGAGTGCTTGACCTTGACCATGAAGAGCATCGAAAGTCAGAAACCATTTCAAGGATTGGAAATGAGAGATGTTTTTAAAGAGCCGGAAACCAAAAGTTGAAGAGTTTGACCGGCGGAAAAGAGGAATTTGGATTTGTCCATATCACATGGTCCTCGTTTTTCTTGGAAAAAAAGAGTTGAATAACGTATGGTCACAATTTAAAGTCCAAAATGACATTCCAGCCTCATTTCTTTCACCAAAGCCATGACCTTCATGAAAGCCATTGTAATCTCCGCCTCTATGCTCATATACCTGTATAAATTTCCTCCTATGAAATATGTTTCTAAAAAAGGGATGCCTTGAATCTAACTCATAGTGATCTTCCTAGAATTGTCCCTCAAAAGCTTTCTTTCAAATCAACTTGAGGTGAATAGATGCTAGTAACATTAAAGATCTCCTCCCCAGCCACATTAATTTTACCACTTTCCTTCTCCTAAAGGAGATGCAGACTCCTGGAAATGGTAGACAGGGACAGGTACTGAACCAAACATAATTAGTCGGTCTGCGCCACAGTAACGAGCGAATACCTACTCGAGGCAGGTTGCTGTTTGCACTCACTTGACAGGATGCGCAGGCATCGAGTGTGGTTGTTAGATCTACAGTGGACGTATTTTCCGGGTATACATATGTCGTGTTGTGTTTGACCCGGGTGCCACTCATTCTTTCGTTGCCGAGGAATTCGCTAAAAAACACAATCTACCCTGTGAAACCATTGAGACTGCAATGTGTGATCGAAACTCCTATAGGTGCTGCCACGATAACTGACTGTTTTTGTATGGGCTGGTATCGGGGGACTGCGACTTGTGGGCTAATTTAAGGGCATCAGATATGCATGGCTTTGGGGTAATCTTGGGCATGGACTGGTTATGGTCACTTCAACTTCATGCTGCTGTTGGTTATCGAGCAAAGAAACTATATTTTCTAATACCCGGCAAAACCTGCGATGTGTTTTGAAGGCTACAAGATTTAGGCTGCGTTTGGGAAGGCTTTTGGGGAAAGCCTTTGGAGAAAAGCAAAGGCCTTTAGTTTAAAGGGTTTTGATGAAATGCAAAGACTGTTTAGTAAACTGTAATTGAAAAGTGGCTTGGGAAGCAACTTTGGGGAATTGCTGTTTGGTAAACATATATTTGAGAAAGTCCTTTGGTTTGACCAATTTAAGTTTTTTAATTTTAATTTGTTTAAAATTGAAAAAAAAATAATGACCGTAACTTTTATATTTTCGCGTTTAGAGTAATGTAAAAGAGATATATTAACAAATTAATAAACAAATAAACCACATCTCTGCAAAAAGAGAGTAATTTAATTATAATGAACATTGTCACATATGCATCGAGGAAAAAATATATTGTCATTGAAATTTACAAGCATCCTTAAGTATTTACTAAACTCTTGGCTATTTGATCACGTAAACGTGCTATGTCAAAAAATAAATTATCATTTGAAGCACTAGCCCCGTCATTCACATAATCAAGGTCAACTGAATATCCATAATTAAGATCCAAATATGCTCTTGCAAAATGTTTATCATTGACGGCGTTTCTTCATTTATAATTGTGCAAGGTCATTGCTACTATAACAATTTTCACTTGCTTCTCAAACGGATAACTTAGCATATGCGTTAGAATCTTCCACTTCTTCTTCAATACACCAAAGGCTCGCTCCATTTTTTATCTTAGCGAGGAATGATGACGGTTAAATGCCTCCCGATAACCAGAAGGTGTAGGACATTGTCGAAATTCTAGCAAATGATATCTAAATTCTTTGTATGGCCCCAAATAACCTATTTGATTGAGATATCCGGCATCTAATAAATAATATTTACCTACACAAATATTATGTAAATTTAATCAACATATACCATATTGATACATACTAATGCTCTAATGCACAAAAACCATTAATAATGAACCTGGAGGAGGATGAGGAAATTGTACATCACATCTTCCGAGGGCTTTATAGAAGAAACAAGTATCATGAGCTTGTCCCTCCCAACCAGCCCAAACATAAATAAATTCCATGTTAAAATTACACATCGCTAATACATTTTGAGTTGGTGTTCCTTTTCGATCAATAAAATGAATCTAATTGTACAAAGGTACCATCGCTGGGATATGTGCGTCATTAATAGCTCCAATGCAACCCTGAAACGAAAACCCAAACATTATTGTATAATCGAAATTTATATTTAGTTATTCCTTTCTATTGTATAATCTAAACGTACCTTAAAATATGGATAAAATGTTCGATTATTTCTGGTCTTCTTTGGAACTTCCCTAAATTGCCGATCAATTGGTTGGATCAAATTTTTTCCCATTGCACATACTTTATCTAATACTAAGCTAAAGTACCTACTTAAGGTTTCCCCATAGCGTTGAAAACGCTTTTGTGTTAACTTGTTACCTATATTGTGTCCTAAAATGTGAAGAAACATTCCAAGCATTTCTGTAACATCAATATTCCTAGTTCCTTGAAGACCATAGCATGTCACTAAGTCATGCATTAAACTATTAAATACAATCTTATCCATTCTAAACATTTGATAGCACCTTATTGGATTAACATCTTCGCTCATCAGCTCTCCTAACCATGCATTTCCTATAAATGACAATGTCATACAAGGTACTTTGTAACTGTATATTGTCTGATAAGTGATTGTAGATTGACCAGCTCCCACAAGTTGCCAATAGTCCTCTTCCTCATTTTCATGATTTTCCCCTTTAGGAGAATCATCTATAAGTGTCAAAGTAACAAAATAGAGAGTTACAATAAGAAAAGTGATGAATAATGTAGATCATCCATGATGGAACAATTATATCATCCATCATATATATGCAAACTTTACCCAATAAAAAAAACACCAATTGAAAACATGTCTCACATTAGAACATAAATAGAAATAGAGTTCACAAGTAGTGCAAACAGAGTGCAAAACACCAATTGAAAATATGCCTGACATTACAACAATGTAGCAAGAGTTCAAATAAGTAGTTAACATCCTAGCGATGACTGTTATGCTCTTCCAACTTAAACTTGAGCCACTTGACATTTTCTTCATCTCCATCCAATTTCATGAAAATTTGCCTGTTGTCTTTCTTTTCAGCAAAATGTGAGAGTGCAAAAAAGTATAACTTTCGGTCTTGCTTAATCTTAGGGATGGCTTTCAATGTTTGCATAATTTCCTTGTAAGGATCAAACTCCCTTGCAAAAGATGTCGCATTGTTTCTACTTTCAACAGCCGAACAAAGTTTGTCAATTTACGATGCTAACTTGGCCGGTCCAGTCACTTTTTTTTCTTTCTTTCCTCGAGCTTGCCTTATTGAACTCTCCGCCGCTCTTTTATGGCTCTTACTTTGACTTGGTTGAACTACTTTTTCACCTACATTGCACTTTAAAGTATCATCAGTAGATCTTGCACAATCACCAATATCAGTTTGTGTGGCCTCAATTTCCTCATTATTGCATAAACCTTGGGCAGGATTCCATGTGATACTTCCAGTAGCAACTGTACCCTGAAACATTCTATCCAACAAAGCTTCAACTTCTGGATGTATGCGTTTCGTTTGAAAAACTTTAAGCTTAGGATTGGCCTGTTATAATAAAACATTTTCATGAGTTGTATCATAAAATATGAACTTAGAAAAAAAGTAGCAAAAGAAGAGAAAAACACCTTAATTTTCCTCTCCCACTATTCATCACTCATATCAATGGTTTTTTTTCCTTGGATCCTATCCTAGTCTCGTTTCCTTTTGAATCAATTGCTTCCATTTTTTCCATTCTTCCTTCATATTATCCCACTTGCTCTTCATTTGATTTTTATCAAACTTTTTGCCCCTTAGCTCCTCAAACTTGTTTATTATGACTGTCCATCCATCCCTTTTATTGCTTGCCGGACGATTGCCTTTTTCAATTTGTTCAATGCACAATTGACAAAAAGTTTCTACATCTTCTGGGATCCAATATGCCTTCTCCTTCGATGAACTTGCCATCTTCCAATAAAATAACCACGAACACATTTGAAAAATGCAAACAAACGAGATTAAAGTATGATTGAATTCCGTAAACATGAATAAACACATGGGTATGCAAATTTTGACGGAACATTAACGATAGAACATAAAGTTACAGCACAATCCGATGTCCAACAAATCATCGTGGAGTGTTCAGAATGGAAAATCAATTAATTGGCAAAAGAGACCTATAGACAAAACTTAAAGCTACAACACAATGCGACATCCAACATAAAGCTACAGACATGGTTGTGGGCAATTAATTGGGAGAGAGACCTATTCTGTTTATAAAAAAACACTACGAGAAGGAATCAAAGCAAAAGAACCTGGATTCAAGGTGAGACAAGCAACTGGGTTACGAGCGAAGAGAGAGGCGAGCACGGCGAGGCGAGCAACTCAGTTCTGAGCGAAGAGAGAGGGTAACAAAACGGAAAAAGAAGAAGAAGAAAAAGCTAAAGAAAAAGGCAAGCAATAGAGGACTATATTTACAAAGTGAGCTGAGATGACTAAGTATATACAGGCAAGAATATGCCATAATGATCCCAAGCAGTACAGAGAATCGGCTCAATGAATCACATTCCACATTAACTTTTGCTTATACTAAAGTGTCTCTATCCTTTCCTCCTCCAGCACTTCCAGCAAACTCGCAGCCAAAACTGCTCTAAAAAAATTTCCCTAACACCAAATTTTAGCCCAAGGGCCTTTGGATGCCTAAAGTGGCTTGGCAAAGCCATTCCCAAACGCACCATTAGTGGCCCTCCATTGCTAATCTCAGCTTTACAAGCATGCCTCGTGCTAAGCAAAGGATGTAGTGGGTACCTTGCTACAGTGAGAGATTTAAAGCAGGGTGATGAAAAATTAGAAGAAATTCTGATTGTTCAGGAGTTCCCTGATGTTGTTCTTAAAATTTTGCCTGGCTCATCGTAA